GCTGGTGACCGCGACTTCGTCTACGCAGGATTAGAATTACATAGTATTGCGCATTTAAACTAAATGATGTCTATCATATCACATAAATTACATAATTATGTGTTACTAACGTTTATAGCAGCGCACGCCAGAATAGCTCGCAGAAACTAGTTTACGAGAGTAATACAGACTTTAAAAAATGAATCTTTTATAGAATATATTAGTTAACGTTAACCTAGGCCCGTAGTTAAAATTAAAAACAAGTTAATTAATACATTTTGCATTTTATTTAGGATTAAGATTTTGTCCATTATAGTTGTCTATTTCAAAAACATTCGAAACTTGATCCTGCAGCAGAAAAGCTTGGGGTTTACTTGATGGCAGGTGAAAACCTTAACGGTTTTAAACGCGATATATTAGTTAAAATCGTTAAAGTGTTTTATTTAAAAAATCTACTCGCGTAAACAATAGAAACAGTATCTAAACAAGTTGCGAAAACCTATTTTTGCTTTGGATATTTGGAAATCCGCTGACTGAAACGGAAACGCGATCAAACGCGACGGCTTTTTCCTCTGCGAACGGTGGTTCGTGACCCCGACGTTCATCGTGTCTTCGAAAATTATTAATTGGTTAGAAGAATGTTGGCGGCGGGAATCGAACCCACGGCTACGATACGATTTTTAGCCATACATTGCCACCATAACACCAACGAGCTCGACAAATATTTATTATAAATCCGTTTTACTGTGAATTTTTTTCACACAATTTTGTTATGCTGCTCTCAGAGCGAAAAGGCGTTAAGTCCCAATAATGAAAGTTCACTGAAGAGCCTTTAGTAATATTATCAACGCCATTAATGTCAAAAAGCCAATACCTATTAAATTACTTGACGACTTTTAGCGAGCGCGTCCCCTTTAATTATTATTTGTTCCGTCTCCTAAAAGCCGGGATTCGAGACAAGAAAACTTTGATGGGTTGTAAGTAGCTACAATCTCTATTAAGTATCTATACGGCTGTTTTTGAAGATTATTATATTATCTGTATATTACGCAAGTAGTACGCATTTAAATAAAACACTCTTAACGGTTTAAAATGTGAAATGTTTTAAATAACTTATTTACATGTGCTTTCGTGATCGCGGCTGCTGCAAAGCATCCGAAACGTCGGGCAGTTGTTGACCGATACAATTTATTGTTTCGCTACGGTTTGAGCCCAGGTCCTCTCGCGCTTAACGAAATGCTAAGGGACACGTTCAGTCATTTGGCTATAGAGGTCAATAAGGTATAAACGATTAAAGTTTAGTTACATTTCATCGTTGATCTACTGAAACCTCAAATACAATTCGCTGTTCTGAGTAGTCAATCAAATATGCCCACATCACCATCTCGTACCTAACACGTTTGTCGGTTCTGCGGGCTTAGTCAATAGTCTTTGAGCAGAATGAACGCTGCAATAACTGGGCGATTGCATCACAGAGCAAAGATTATATTGCAGACAAGGCAAACGTTCTCTTGTCATATGAAAAACAATTATTTTACTTTTTTTTATTATTTACAGAAAACTAATACATGTCTCTAACCCGTTTTCGGAGCGCGATCAATTTTAATTAGTAGTTCTTAACAAATAAAACAACAATTAAACTCTTCAGCTTTATATATTTGTATAGATTTCTTCTATAAAAAATATAAAAAAGGGTTTTATAGCTTGTAAATGGTTTCTCTTAGTAAGTTACCAATGATTGACTTAATCATAATTCTATAATAATGGCACATAGCAAAAATGTATGCATACTTGTATTATATAAAATCGAAAATAAATTTAAAAAAAAATTTACTCGGGCAGGACTTGAACCGGCATCATCGTCGAATTCTTTTAACTTATTGATACACCTCTCGCGCAATGTAATTTCAACCTTAACACTTTGCATAATATTAAGGTTCAACGTCTGCTTTGCAGCTTGCAGTTTTAACATACTTGTATTGTTTTTATTTAAACCTTATCGTGCTAGAAAAGAGTCAATCAAGAGAAGAAAAATATACATAGAAAACACTTTTTCGGTTTGAAACGCGATGTTAGTTAAGTTCAATATATTTTAACTGCGGACCATGGTTTCGGCTGCTGCAAAGTTAGCTAATATATTTCGCATTTCAAACCCGTAAAATTGTACTCGCGTTAAGTACAAACATAGCTTAGAGGAAAAAAGAGTCAAAGTCACATAGCGACTAAACGTTTCAAGTCTGTAGCGTCTGTCAGCCATTAATCTATGGTACACCAAAATGGGTACATCGCAGTAATATCGGATGAAGCTTATGATATTCTGTTAGAGGCTTTGTATGACTCACTGCGTGTGCTTTGAGAGGGCTATTGGGTCTCGTACTAAAAGATTTAGTACACTTACACCAGATTTACTGATAGAGGAGAAAATCTATCTACATCAGTTTTCTCAGTTAAAGCTTTGCACCTTCGAGCTTCTCGCTACAAGTCTTTGGCATTTGTTCATTTCTTAAGTAATGATGTGTGATCATGGAATCTATTTAATTATAGTATTTATTTTTTATTGGGCATTAAACAAGCAGTGAGTTTTACAGAGATATTTAAAAAACATAAACAATAAAAATCACAAAGTAAAATGTACAACTTTACTTTTAACATTTCGCATGAGTGTTTAACCAATTAACTTACATGTTTTATATTCATTAAATGTAGGTTTTAAACTCGGCCCTATTATAGAACTTGCAAGTCTCAAGTAATGCTTGGAAATAATGAAACATTCAAATTATGCTCAGCGTATAACTTTTGAAGCTTAACTCTGTTTATTTTTACTTAAAGGGCAAAACATACTAAAGTGAGTGGCCACTCAAAAAGTAGGTTAAGTTTGATATTACACTTGCTAAGAAATAATGAATGAGTGAGCACACTTATCATAAGGCTGTGGTCTACTGTAAGCTATAAGTATTGCAAAATTTGAAACGAATATTGCTTTAAAAATCTATTTATACATAATTATATATCAACAACCTCTGCCGTGCTGTTTAGTTTTGCTGTCGTAATGTTTTGAACGCTTACTTTCTACCTTCTCAAAGCTAATTCGACTACTAAAGCTTAGTGTTTGGCCAAAGCCGATTTATCTGTTTTATCTATTGGCTGAAACACAAGTTTATGGCTGTGTTGGATAAATACAAATTAAAAAACTTGAACACAGAATTTTTGTTTTTCTTTCAATTGTTGTATATCGAAGAATAATTTCTAGGAACCTTTTCAGGCCCAGACTTCGGTTTCTCCGAGACATTATAGCTTTAAATGGAATTGCGTCTTTATAACGTCGTTCCACGGAAAATTAAGTCGCCGAGCACAATTTATAAAACAGAATTCATTTGAACAAGCGAAGTATAGCAAATATTGCGAAGACAGTCGAGTGAGCACTGAATTTTGGCAAATTCGGCAAAATTAAGTTACCGTTTCGCTCCGTTGCAGCTGAATGCAAATAATTAGTAGAAATGTTCGAATTTTCTTATTCAAGCACATTTATTAGAATTACTTTAACATGTTTTATTTTTAAATAAAACACTTTAACGGTTTAAAACGCGATATATTAGTTAAACTTCTTTCAAAATGATTTTAAAAATCATCAAAATCATTTTCAATAAGTTTAACTAATATAACGCGTTTTATACCGTTAAAGTGTTTTATTTAAATGTGTACTACTCGCGTAAACAACGTTTTATTTGATAAAAAATACAAGTTCTTTAAATTGTACGTATCTTAACGCAAGTATTTATTGACACAAAGAAATCTAAAACATATAAACATCTGACAGGCCCGTTGGTCCAATGTATGGGTATTAAATAATCAAAGGGACGTGAGTTAATCCCTACCAGGGTCCTAAGTATTTTGCATAATCAATATTTTAATTCGTTAACTTAGCCACATTAAGGTCTTATGCCCTCGTAAGCTCAGCTAGGCAGCAGTGAACGATATTAAAGCGAGCTGATCAAAGAAATGTCAGAAGTGGACAACCCGATAATCTTAATAAATAGTGGTCATTGAAGGCATAAGCAATGTATTTTAAACATTAAAAATTCCACTCGTGTATGTTAAAATACCAAGAATAGAAAGTAGATTTTTACGAATTCAAACACTGTTTGTGGTATTGTATTTTTTCAATCTAAGATATATGTTTATTTCCGTTGTATGATGTCAGTTTCGTTATTTCAAATAGATAAAAAAGCAAATCATGCTTCCTACAAACTTCCTAAAAGTACAGCATTGATAAGATAATGACAGTTTGACTTTTAGTCGTTAGATACTTCCGCAACGGATCAAATGAAGAACCTTATGTTATTATATTATTTAAATATACAACTTTTCGTTTGTTTTCGTGGAATATGCATTATTTTCATCATGTAACATTACTTACACGATTAGACTTAGGCGATACTAACATTTATACTTTTATAAATTGTATAAAATTTCCACAACTATTTAAACAAATATTCAGTTTTCGAAATGTTTGTCTCAAAGTATGTAAGGAAAAAATTGTTCTAATATTTTTTTCGAAATTTTACGAACGGCATGATACATACATTGAGCAAATTGCCGCACAACCGTTCAATATGCACCTGTGAAAAAAACTAGTGCTTGGTATATAGGAAAAAATACACGAAATACGTTTTTTTTCTACAGAACAAGATCGCCCAAAAATAACACGAATCGTCAAAAGAAAAATATTGGTTTTTTTTTCAGAAAACAGTACTAAGTATGGATCTAAGCTTAGAATCAAATTATTCGCTCAGAGTTATGATTAAACAGAACTTTTTTTAACAGATCGTATTTGTATTTAACTAAAAAATAAGCAGAGAGCTTTCTTTTAGATCACTTTATGACATTTAATAGTGACTATTTTTTTTTAGTTCCTAAACTCAAAACGAATGAATGTAGGTATGACGAACTTCATTGTGATAAGATATCAATACACATAAAAACTGTTCCTTCGGCTCAAAGCTTTAGTGTCGACAGCTACAATGCGCAAGTTACTAGTGTTAGCCGCATTTTTCTCAGGTGCTTTGTCACAGTTAAAATTAGAAGGAAAATGTGACCTGCAGGCGTTGACAAATGGGGCAAAGATAGATATGAATCGGGTTAGTATTATTTACAATAAATCATTAAAAAAAAAGACATCATCTAAGCAAATAATAATATTGTTTAAATATTTCTTCCTAATATTATTAAAACCTTTTCACTTTTGCACATGATAGCTTTACAATTTTAATGGTAATTATTTTGATAAGTAATATGGCAGTTCTTTTATTGTGTTTGTAACGAATGATAGCTTATGGCATACATAAGTTTTATAATACATATATTATTTTCAGTTCAGCGGCGTTTGGTATCATATAGCCAAAATACCAAACTGGCAATATGGAGAATGCAGTTCGATGACGATTACTATGAATAGTGATTCCACGAATGGAGAAGCAGTAACGAATCATGTCTTTAGCAGAAAGCCGTATAGCTGGACTGCTAGAATCCTTGCGAACAGGCCTTCCGATGGAATCATAGAGTTCGCTTATCCACTTCGTAAGATATTAAGCATTCATCATCAATATTTTATTCTTAACAAAGAAAATCATTCACGGGCACTTTGCCTTAAAATAAAATCGATTTAACATTAAAACAATTTATCAACATTACCAGGACTTGAAGCGACACCCATAGCCTTCCGTGCTGTTGTGTGCTCTAACTTGAGCTACACGCGTGTCCCTTCACGTCATCGTTGTTATTTTTCTATCTATTGATACTTGCATCTCTCGCGCAATGTAATTTTAACCTTCACACTTGCATATTAAGGTGCAATAACTTACTTGCAGCATGCCTACATGTAGGACACGCTAGCTCTATTGGTTTGTGCAACAGCACGAAACGCTGTGGATGCTGGCAAGTCCTGCCCGTATCGTATTTTTTTTTTTCAATATAATGCCATCTTGTGCAATAAAATATGAAAAATGTTAATGTTTTCGAACAGTGGCCCAACCTCCACCGAATTTATATAAACTACTGACACAAGACCCGTGTCTCATTATTCTATTAGAATTACTGAACAGAAGAATGTCTAGTAAGATAGCTAATGTTCTTATAGAACACCGAATGGCGAAGGACGACAAGTCTGCGCCACGCTGTAGTTATAAGACTTGTGGCCTAGATCGAATCTGTATGTATACTTGTGACACGGTAGCTCAATTAATTAGAGCAACAGCACGGACCACAATGGATGCTGAAATTACGACACGTGCAGGACGTGTCGTAATTTTCTCTCGTCTTCTCTAACATCGATTTTTAATTTATATATACGCAAATAAATACGTTTGTTTCAGATTCCAGATCGTATAAGGCGGTAGTTTTAGCCACCGATTACACAGGATATGCGTTGCTGCACGGTTGTTTTGAAGATTCAAATAACGAAAAAGAAGGTACAGAACTACTTTGCTTATATGCCTCTATAACTATATTTTTTTTGTCTAAAACGACAAGAATTTATTAATGAGTGTTCGTGGTTTTTATGTTTTCGAGTTTCTGTTTTTAAAACCGTTAAAATGTTTTATTTAAATTTTAATACAGCCGATCCGTTATTGGAAAATGCTTACACGTTAAAATTAATTCGTACGTATTTAGAAATGTGTGTTGACATAAACAAAAATTGAGAATGAATGAAATATAATTAATAATTATTAGTATTAAATAACAGAATATTGAATAGTTTAATCATAATTTTTAGTATACTCCTGGCAGCTGAGCAGAACAAAAACGTTATCACCGGCACAAACACAAAGTATAAACGCCGCTATTGCAAAAGTTCCGGACTACAATAACGTCCGTTGGTTTCAAATTCGTCACGAGCAGGCGTATTGCACGACGGATGGTCCTCAACCACCACCGCCGCGACCACCATCACCATCGCCGTCACATGCCGCAACATCTGGTGTAACGGCACTGATAGCACCATTAGCCCTTTATCATTTGCTGAACAGTCTACGGCATTTATAATTGAAAATTTGTACAGCTTTAGGTTCGTGATTCTAACTTGAAATAAATATTACTAGATTTATAATTTGTTTGCTCTTGTTTTGACGTCCTCATTGGTGTAATGGTAGCAATGTAAGGCTAATAACCAACGGGTCCGAATTATTTCCAATCAATCTGGATATTAAATAGATCTACTATCCACAAATGAAACAGCCGTCTAGGTGAATCGCGTAAATAAAGCGTTTCGGTTGCAGTCTGTGCATTTTCGAATAACCGGACCCAAAATTATGAAAAACATGATAATATTAACATAGATAAGATACAAAGTTACGGGATCCATAGATAAAACGCAGATCGATTTAAGTGTTAATCTGTATATCATCTATACGTTACTAAATTACATATATTTATTTATATTTCGTAAAAGGTTTGTAAACTATCGCAGTATGATTACTATCGAATTTGTAGTAAATAATTGAAATTACCTAACATTACGATAGATATCAATATATTTCAAACTATATTTTTTATATTATTTAATTCAATATATTAATAAACTTACAATAAGCATGTTTTTATAGAACGGAAGCAATTAGACACAGTTCTTATCGAATTCTATCTAACCACCAACCGTTGATGTCAATTCTTTTTATAAGTAAGGAATCTAATCTGTGATACGATTGTTTTTGTCAATTTAATTCTGAACTGTTATCTTCAGAAATAAACAAAAATTAAAATAAATAAATATCTACAACACGAACTTCTTATTGAAGATGACATCAGCATTATTTATAATTTTATTTTATCTATATAGAGACAAGATAAGATTATTATTTTTTTGAGCATTGTGAATCCTTTCGTAGCGGATATGAATGAATCGTCATAAATCAAACTAATCTTATCCTTAGTTCTCCTGGAGCAGATTCGTGACATATGTGATACAACTATTATTAATATTAATTAGATAAGTAAAAAAAAATAAAGTTAAATACTTGTATTTCAAAATTATGAGTGACAAACAAAGCTTGAATGCTTAATCGTTTTATTGTAATTCGTGTTAACTTAAACATAGCATAGCGCTTAAAATAAAATATGTTTAACTTAAAAATTGTTATCAAAACAAACCCCAATCTATTTCTAAAAAAAATATATAAAAACCTTTCGTAGCATTCAAGAGCAGCTGAATCTGATCTACTTCTTCTTAGCTTCTTGCTTCTTCTTGGTCGCTGAAAGGGTTCTGTTCAGAGCCTCTTGAGCTATAGCGTCGTCTCTTTCCTCCAAAACCTCGGCCAGGTCTGGGTTCCATTGCGAATCTACACAAATTATGTTTAAATTATGTCTGGAAATTTTGCTACATTTGTACATTGTTACAAGCTACTAATTATTACTGCATTAATTTAAGACCCTAGTAAAACAATGGTAACCAATTTGAAATACGTACCAACGAACAGAGTCTCAAGGAGACGTGCTCTTCCTTTCTGCCTCCCGAGTACGTGGACCTCATTGTAATGCTGCAACTCTCTCATACGATCTAGCGCTGCTTCTATTTTGTCTTGACGTCTTTGTTTCGTTTTTTTAGCTATATCTGATGTTATAAGTATCCTATAACAACAAATGTTGACTTAGTGGTTTATTTTAATTTACCGAAATTAATTAGAAACATAATGAACGTATAATACCTTTCATTTTCATCTTCTTCCTTAGTACAGAATGGTACAAAATACAACGGTATAAACTTGTCCTTTAGCTGTTCGGGCATCGTCAGATACAGCGATTCTTCTTCGCTTTCTTCCTCTACCTCCAACTCTAAGAACAAATTGTTTTTAATCCTGTTATCGTGATAATTTAATAATATTTAGTATACCTGCACTTTCTGTAGCCGGAGTTGGACCTTGCTGCTGAGGTGCATCTGCTCCTTCTAGAAAGAAATCTCGTGAATATATCGTCATTTTCAATTAAGTTATACATTATATATTAATTAAGTTTTAGGTTTGTAATTGTTTTTTGAGGAACTCTGAACCTTAAAGGCTGGATTCCTACGAGACGAATTTAGATCTTTTCCAAATTTTAATTGGTTTCTAAGAGGAGTAAAGAATTTTGAACATTAAATATTTGAGTCCAAAACTCACTCTTATGTTCGCCTTCCATTTCCTCTGGATAAAGTTCCTGAAACACATTTGGCATTTATTAATTGGGGCATACCAGCGAATCAAAACTTATGACCCGATTATGAACCTACTTACCTCCTTAACAGACATTGTGCTCTCCGAAGGAGGTGGCGGTAGAGCTTCTAAGAAGTCCGCTCTAAATTCTTTCCTGAAATACGTGTACTCAACTTTTTCTGCTATATTCAGGTTTATATGCAATTGGTAGCAATATATGAGGCCACGATGACTAACCTAATCAATGCCCCTCTCAAATTTCTCCCTGGTTCTCTCGCGTCCCAGGCCTTTCTTGCAGCTGAGAACTGAAGATCCCTTTCATCATCACGCCTGGCGATGGAGCCACCACCAATGGACAGTGAGCATTCTAATTCAACATATGCATCCCCAGGTTGTGGCTGACGATGTTGAGCTGGTGGAGATTTGTCTCTTTCCTTGGCCGAGGATGGCTGTGCAGGTATTGAAAAGTTGTATTAAAATTCAAATTCGTACTAACTGTTTGGTTAGATTAATTAATATCATTATATCATCTAACCAAATTAATGAATTATAAGTCAATTTTTATTTAAAATATACACATAAATACTTATTGCACGACCTAGTAAACTTAACGTATTTTTAAGCCATTTTAATATTTAATAATAATAATTAATTCATACGAACGCTGAACGCTGCGGGTGCTGGCTCTTTTCCCGCCCGTATCGTAAATTTTAATTGATATAATGCCTAATAAAAATAAATAATATTTGATATGAAAATACATCCTTAGGGTGTATTATAAAAATGAATTTAATAATATTCTATACACATTTTGTATTATATAACGTTTGAAATGGGTTGAAATATTATATTTTTGCTCTCCTCGAATTGAATTCCCAAAGCAGCCGACTGAAGAAAATGATTAATGTAGTCGAACCTTTAAGCTCATAAAATAGTAACCTTTTCTTTGGCAGGTTTTTTAGGAGTTGCGTCAACTTTAGCGACCTCCAGGGAGTTGCGGACCTCATCCACTCTATTCCACTGTTGCAAGGTGAGAGGCCAGCCCTTAGGAGCGATCACCCTGAAATATTTATTATACAGAAATGAAACTTGCCTCACCTGATTAAAATCTATTTTCCATGCTTTACTTACTCAATCGTATACTGTCTTGGTTCTACGATAATCTTCGTGTCTTTAAGCTGAAATTGAAAATTTTATGATCTTTATTAAAACTATTACTTTATTTATTTTAAGGTGAAACTTTTCGAAACATGTTAAAAAACAAGTTCAGCATTGTTTGTTTACGCGAGAACTATATACACACTTATTAATAAAACATTTTTAACGCTTTAAAACGCGAAATGTATTAATTAGTTAACTTGGTAGGAGCGTGGTAAAGATAAATTATAAATAACGCAACCAATACATTTTGCGTTTTAAATCATTAAAAAGGCTTTATCTAAAGAACTAAGTTTTGCTCGACACATGCGCGTCAGACCTATGAAACTTTTGAAGTATTAAATATCATATTATAAAACAGATACAAGTTAGTTAATCAATGTGCATTTAACGATGATGCACAATTAAAAATACCTTCATAGCTGACCTAGCCTTCGGACCGGCAGACGAAGGTTTCTGCTTTGGCACTTTCAACGAACGAGCACTGGAGTAAATGGAACTAGGGTCCGCCTGGGAACGTAAAATAACTTACAGTCGATAATACCCTAAGAAGTAAAAAAAAATAACGCAAGTATATTACTGTTAGGTCTCGGACACTTGAAAATGAACATTGCCAAACCACATTTATAAAAAATTCAGATGTTTAGATAAAAATTCAATTCAGCTTATTCATTTATTTAATACTTTGTACTAAATAAATGAATAAGCTGAAATCAAACACTAATCCCTTCTAAGCAACCTGTCAAGAAAGAAAATTTAATTCGATAAAGTATTTTTAATACCAGAGACAACAATTTACAACTTTTAAATAAAACATTATTAACGGTTTAAAATACAAAATATATTAGTAAATTTATTTTTACATCCGAAACGTCGTGTCGTGGTTAAATTAATTAAAAATCACCAATATATTTCCGTTTTTAAACCGTTATAATTGTTTTACTCAAATGTTTGTATGTTTTATGCAAGAACGTGAAAAATTGAAGGTAACGCTTGTAAGACTGTCCATTATTAAATAAATATAACCATAAAACTACGCACCGCATTTAAGTTAGACATAGACCGCTTCTTGGCCGGTGTCACCAGCAAGTTTGTTGGGGTTGGTTCCAATCTGATGTAAGGCCAGAGCAGTTCTCCAGTTCCAGCACATCTGCCCACCTCTTCAATTTCCCCGTCCGGGCCTGTTGTTCGGAGAATAGCTTCCATTTCCAACTACAATAATATACATATGTAAAAAAACACACACAAATGGGAAAGTGCGTTTATCTGAATTCTAGGCTTGGATGGTCGGTAACAATGTCAATACCTTCATTTTGACAGTAAATATTTAAATTTCATTCCCCGTGTTCTCGGGGAATGAAAAAAATATTCCCCTGTACATATACATGTAAAGAAAAGAAGAAGTAATTAAAGAACTAACATCAGAAGAAGTAGCAGCCGCTCTGAACCTAATCGCTTCATGTTTCGACACGAAAATTTGTATTCCTCCCAAAATATTTCGTCTATTCGGTATAAAGATCTCATCGACGTGCAATTTGCTTGCAGACGGTAAAGGTATCTCCTTGCAGCCACCTTCCTCATTATCACAAACATGGAAGACGTCGGATATGCTGGTCAATACTGTTAGTTGCCAGTGCGCATCGGAGTAAGCTCCTTGCGCTTGAGTCAGTGTACCGTTACCCATTACTGTGTAGCTGAAACATGTTGGGGTTATGAAATACATATATTCAATGAAACACTTAACGGTTTAGAACGCAAAATATATAAGTTAACTACGCCCTGACGTTTCGCTATATTTCCATCAGTCGTGGTCACGAGGGACTCAAGATTGAGTCCCCAATGTCCACAACAGGCTACCAAGGATCCCATAGGTTGGGCGGTAAGTAAAATAAATTAAGTTAATTAATTTTCCCAGTGCGATGCATGATTACCAGTAGTTCTTAGTGTAGTCAATATTTATCCATCGTTTTACTCATGCGTATCGCTCGTCCCATAGGTTTGTGTCTAGGTTTGAGTAGACCCTTACGTGACCATCGAAAATCAAGCTACCTACAGATAGCTAACAAGTAAGTAGTGTAATAAGTGGCGAGAGGATCATTAATCTCTTATTAACTGAATAGCTGGTGGCTGGCAGAATTTAGCAATTACTAAGCAAAGTAAAAAATATCATACCCATGATCATTAGGATGGATATCGAATGTGACGTGCGAATTATAGGCTTGGGGCATTTGGGCCCCAGTATCATTATCGTACACCATAAAGGAGCTATATTGTAGAGTGCTTTGTACGTCAAAGTGGACCTTGACGGGTGCGTGACAGTAGAACACTCCCTGAAAGAACGGAATCCACTTGCACTTTGGGGTGATTGGTGATAGTCCACTGTGCTGCTGCAGGCCATAGACCCCACTGAGGGCAGATGCGACGGAATAGGCGTAACGAGCTCCAGGGTACATGCCGAAGAACTTATTCATAAGGGCTGATAATGTTTCGAAGGTGCCGAAAACGTAGTCCATTAACTGTAACCCACAAAAAAGCAAATAAATCATGGTATACGTGTACGTAAATTATAAATAAATTTTAAATGTTTATGTAACATTTTCGTATTAAGTAGGTAGAATATAACACATTTCACTGTAAAACCAATATTTCTATATTTAGTTGGTAATATAATTATATTTTATACTACATGTGTCAGCGACTTCACCCGCGTAGTTTATTTATAAATTTAAACTGTTAGCCACAAAGTCACAAAGTTAATTTTAAAAGATAGATATATAGTATCACACACAAAAAAAAACCATTAGAACCGGTAGTTTCTGAGATTAGCGCGTTCAAACAAATAAACACACACTTCAGCTTAAAAGGTTTTGTAAACTTCAGAAAAATACATACGATTATATGAAAAATAAAAAAATTATTTTAAATAAAAAAAATACGCTACGGGCAGCATTTGAACCGGCACTGACAACGTTTCGTACTCTAACCAAATGACATGACAGCTAACACTTGGTTTATCCAATATCGATTTTTAATTTATATAATGACATCATGTCCTTGTGTCGAATGTAAAAGTTCTCAAACATACGATTTTAATAATCTCAGCTGGCACAGCTAACGGTGCTGTTAGGCACTTCCTGGCCCAAGTGCCTCTCCAATGTGCTTGAATTATTCTAGCTGCTTCGTGCTTCCTTATAACCTTCTCTCTCTCTTCTTTCAAAATCCCACAAGGAACTTCTTCTGTAGCTAGTTCGCATACGTTGGAAGTGACGGGAAACTTGGGCGGACTTAAAAGAAGTTCCATTGTCTCTTTGTCTACAACTGGCTTCTCTTCTGCGACCTATATAAGCGATGAGACATCAAATAATTTAAGGATGATTTTTGTTACTTAATAAAAGGAGATATAGAGAAGTTTTTTTTTGTCTATATTGTTTCAGTAACTTTTAATTAAATGCAATTCATAAGTCAAATCCTATAATTTTCTATAATATAAGGACAATAATTAAATGATTGGCTTTTAACGGTTTAAAACGTGAAGCGTAGTAGTAGCTTGCTGCATCGTTAAGTAATCGTACCTTTAATAAAGCATTTGAAACGTCGATTCGTATTTAAAACAAATATATATAAGTGAACTAATATATTTCGCGTTTTAAACTGTTAAAAGTGTTCTACTTGCAAAAACTAGAGACTACCTTTGTAAAAACACGGTAATTTTAAGTACAATAAGGTTTATTAAAACACTACAAATGTGTTATTCACCTGTTGCTCTTCTTCCAGTTGTTCTGGTAACATCTCAATCTCTTCAGCCTCAGGCAGTACGCAGTCACAGGGATCGAGCAAAGCGATACTTCTCAAAGACCTCGGTGGCTTCGGTTTCGGTGGAAAACCGAAGTCCGGGTCATGGAAGTATTTCCTAAGAACGGAACAGACGGCTTGGTACTCTTGTGGCAAGAGTTTTTTGCTCAATAACGACTGTAGTGCCTGACGAAACATCCAATGCAATAACGCTTTATTGAATCCGACCACTTCCTCGTCCCATTCTAGGTCGGGCTGATATGAACTGAAATTTGTTAGTCGCAGTTCAAACACCGATAACTTCGAGAGACTCAAAAAATATGATGAATATTTAATTAGTGAGGTTATGCAAGTAGCTAACTTGTTTTTTGTGAAATACATCCAAAATAGAAGCAAACATTTATAGATACAAGAAAAAGATACGCAACTTTAAGGAAATGTAATCGTTAACACTAATTACTTATATTTGACAATCGTTTTAATTCATTTAAAAATCGAAAATAAATTGAAAAAAATTTCGACTCGGGCAGGATTGAACCGGCATCGTCAGCGTTCCGTGCTGTTGCTCTACAAGCAGCGGTTGCAACGGCAAATTTTAAATTATATAGTGCCTGCGTGTGCAATAGCATGTTAAAATATTAAAGTTTTCGAACGTTTTAATTCATCCAAATATGGATATATGTTTGCATAACTTACACATAAAACAAAAAATATTTTCTAATAAAACACCAAAACAATTGTAACTGTGTAAAAAATCCAATTTTCCCCGTGAAGCATGCGGCGAACACGTTTCTGTGTCTGTATCACCAGTTTTATTTACAGACAAGTAGTTGATCAGACCTCTGCGCCAGCCTGCCAGATCCCCGAGATTCGACCCCAGGATTTCTGGCGCTTAGCTTAATGTTTAACAACTTAGCTATAGAGTATAGATGCGGTCAATTAATATTGTTTTTTGCCTACAATTTCTGTTTTTTTATGATGAAATATTATTAACATGATGCTTCATAGTTATCCTAATTTAAGTTTTACATATATATGAAGCCGAAGATTTGTTTATAGCGTTGGGCAGGAGGTTTGTAAAAAAAACTAATTTTGACGCCCTAAATAACTATTCGACGCAGACGAAGTTGCTATACACAGTTAGTATAGTTATATGTATTTTAAATAATTCCGCTTACTTATAAAATTCTTTATCGTTCGTTGTCAAAGTGGCACTAGATCTTGATGCTCGCAACCAGTTCGTAAAAGCAACGCTCAAGTTCGTAAGAAACCTTGACGCCCATGGGCATTCGCGAACTGCCGCTGATTGAATGACATCTCTACCGCCCAATACTAGAGTAGAATCGCTCAGTAACATCGCAGTCCAATTCATACGAGAATGTACCCAGACCCTAAAAATTTTAATAATTAATGTTCACTAACTATTCATAACATTTATTATGAAATAATAAAAGAGGCTGTAAAACTATTCGTTATGTTTATTAGACGTTTTGACAAAACTATCGAATTGATTTAATAAATAAAAAATAACATTAGTAAAACTGAATTTTTATTTATTTTCATTATGGCCCGACGATTCGGATGCTTTGATTCCTCGTGACAACTACTGCTGGAAAGCTTTCGAAAAGTCGGACGGTTGTTAAAATAATTTTACTAAAATATTTCGCGTTTAAAAACGGTAAACATGTTTTATTTAAATAAACAAAAACTCTCAGCGAACAGCTTAAAAGTACATTTATTTCATCACAATTTAAACGATATTCAAAATATAACATTACCTACCACACATTAATATAATTTGAGCACTAACCTACAAAAGTGTCTGCCAGGCTCGAAGCTAACTTCGACCGAATCATATCCTCGGGTTGCTATATACGCTTTTGCCCTCGGCAGTTCACAGTCCTTAAACCACTCAAACACCTCGAGCAATAAATACGCCGGTTCTATGTAATCTATGACTGGGAGACCACAGTTGAAGAGAACTCTTGGATGGAGCATGACCAGCGATATCCTCAGAACGTTCTCATCAGGGCCATCTATTTGCAGGTAGAGGGGAGAGGATTTGGGGGCTGGGATATCAAGGGCTTTGTTGGTCGGTGCTTTCGTAACTCTTAAAGGGGGGCTACTGGCCGCTGTCGTGTATTGATACATCGATGGAAAGAAGAGGATGTTCACTTCTTTGATACGCTTACTTAGCTGAAAGAAAGTTTTATTATAAGCAAGTGATGCAAGTAAGTAAGTCAAAGTGATTTTAGAAAATTACTTAGCCTTTGACTGTACTTATTTTTAGAATCATGTATTTTCCTTGTCGGTAAAGGAAACAAAAGTAAAAACGGATAATCATTTTTTTTTCTTATTTATGTGCATTTAATTAAAATTTATTTAAGCGTAAACATAAAATAAATAATTGGCAAATTGCTATTGTATTTTATAAGAAAATTAATTTTCTACTGTATTAAAGTTTATCTATTTACCAGATATAAAGTATTTTTCTAGGCTGCCTTCGTAGCTAAACGGATATACGTGTTGCCCAGTATTGCGTTAAGCGCGGAGGGTCAAGAAATCGAATCCCGGGGAAACAGTAGATCGTTTGGCAAGAGTAGGGCAAAATGGTCTAATCAATAATTTGCCCGTAATTAAAAACGATGAATCGGACACCGAAATATGTTCGCCACGTGGGGACCCGGGATTTCACTTTTAACTATTTCTCTAAACATCCAAACATTTTTTTTGAGTTTACTCTTCGAACGTCAATGCTTTTGCTAAACACAATAGTGGCAGTATAAATCAAAAGACCCACTGCATCAAACTGGATCCATTCACGCAGTTCCTCCTTGAATTGCTGGTTAGATGAATTTATATTTCCCGATCGATTCACATCTTTTACACCCTTTTTCACCTGTAATTATGAAGATGAAATGCCTAACCTTGCGCACTTGTTCGTTACTTTAAAAACTACTTGACAAGATGTCTATAGATTATTTAACAATCGATTCGAAATTAAACAATACAAACAATAAAATAGAAAATCACAAGCAATATTAACCGGCGGATTAGTTCTATCATTGTCCTCTCTAAATTGGAATGTTACCTGAAAAATAGAAACAGCTTAATTAATTAGTATTATAAATTAAAAAAATAGTTAATCAACCTTAATAGAACAGGAGAACATCGATCTCTGTCTGCTTCCTGTATCGATTTTAAATACCTGATTAGATTTCTGTGTACCTACTGAAATACCAAAACAATTAACGCAATGCCAGACAACACATTTAACCACTGCGCTATGAAGCTAATAATTTTTATTATTTTTTAATAAAACTTGAGGCTAATTTATAATTATTTTCCTCCTAATTTTATTCGCAGTAAGTATTGACAGACTTATTTAAAAAGAAAACATGTCTGGAGGCTAATTTTGCAGTGTGCTTAAATGTTAAAATTTTTCATGAATAATCTAATTGTTGTAGTACGAAGGTAACGTCTGAAATTGTTTATTATATCCTTAAAGGCATTGTTTAAATAAAGATTATTATAACTAGAATAAAGAATTGGAAAAGTGTCTTAATCAAGACTTATGCCGTACTAGTGGTGTCAGCGACTTCGTCAGCGTAGAATAGTTATTTTGGGTAATTTTTTTTTTGTTTATGCATACCTCGTCTTTATATTTATAAATTCGAGGTTTTCGATGGGTACATAAGGGAAGCCCATAAAGATGAATAATTTTCCCCGATTTGTTTTCACATTTCTAAAAGTTCTAACCAACACAATAATATTTTTTTTAATTCGAACCAGTGGTTCCTGAGATTAGGACGTTCAAACAAACTCTCCAGCTTTATATATTAGTATAGAGTATAGATATAGCATAGTTTCAAAATCAATCACTAACAGATTCAGTGCTTTGCACATCCAATAGATGCGGGGCGTGGGACAACTTCAGGAGGCCGTTGACCTTTAGGAACTTGGTCCGGGGACAGTCGTAGGCTTCGTATAAACCATGTTGTCTGGCCCAATCCACCCAACGATAGGTTTTCCATAATGGCACATCTATTGATAAAATATGGGCTTATTCAGTAATAGAAAGTAAGACAGGTTCTAGATTTAAACACTGGTATTAACGGTGGAAAATTTAGTCGAAAATTGTTTTGTTGTTTAAATAAAAAACGAAATTACGTTTTGGATATATTAACTACGCCTGTCGCAACGCCTCAAAAAAGTCGGTCCGTACTTAAAATAAATAATTTTTGCGTTTTCAACTGTACTGCAAGACTTTAATTAAAAAAAACGTAATATTTGCATAAACCACAGACGATAGTGTTTTGATGTTCATAAGTGTACTTAAGTACCTAAGTTCTACCTGTATACATTATATATGATTGTTTAAATATACCCGATTATTCTCTATTTATTTTTAATCTTGTACAAAGCACCAAATAATGCACTTAAGAACTCAATATACACATAGATAAAATTGATTACATTAATTGATAATTGATAGCGCAGCGTGTCTTTGCCAATTGTCACATGACGGTATCAGTCTCACAATCCGCCGCACTTTTATGTATACCTTAAGGGCATTTACCTACTTTCAAAGAAAAGTAATTCTGTAAAATGTTACAATTTAAAATGTTTCCGTTCAAGAATGGTTTCAAATCTCCATCTTACCTGGTTCGGGTAGAGGCTTCTTCAAGGGCAGATCTCTCGCCATAGTCACGAGTAAGACCATCTCATGACCGGGAGTGATGCCTGGTAAGGCGTACGGCGGCTGACATTTTGTGTCCTCAATCAGTATAGTCGCCACGGCGTTACGCTGTAATGAAAATCCGTAAAATTATTGTACCCATAGTCTGTACCATTTTTCTAGAAATATACAATACTCGCAGTGCCAACGTCTTCGTCCGCAAAGAATAGCCATTTTGGGCATGATAAATTATATCAATTATTTATTTTGCAAATAACCTCCTTTATAAATATAGCTATTACCCGTTCCGTCGCGTCGTATTTGGGAGTTAATCTTTAACGATAAACCAACTAAAGGAAGAGTCATTCTTTCTATGTATGTATGTCTATGTATTTTAGTTTCTTGAACCGTTTCACAGCGTACGAAACTCTTATAGATTAATATTTTTCGCCTTTTTTTCTCCACACCTTCGCTTCTGTTACTTATTGGTTGTAGCTTGATGTTTTATAGCCTAAATCCTTCCTGTCCAACCAACACCAATAGAATTGTTTGATCACTTCGAACCAAGTAGCTCCAGAGATTAGCGCGTACAAACAAAAAACATCTTTAGCTTTATACATTAGTAGGTATAGAAAAGTTAATTGCTTTAATACTATTTTTTTATTAACACTTACGCGCACGGAAGAAGTCTCTTTGGTGGTAGGTTTCTTGGTGCTCTTAGTTTTGGTGGTGCTCAACATAGTGTCGCTGTCTTCGTCCCAAGAAAACACTGACACTTCGGACGTTATCAGTTCCCAGAGCCTGTGGGGGTCTGCCAGGTCACCTATAGTGGGAAATAAGAGGAGGTAAGTTTATATAAAACGTTCTTAACCGTTTAAAACGTGATATATTAATTGAATAGTTTGTAACTACGATGACGCTATTGGTCATGGGTAGACCCCTGTGACCATAGCAGCTGAAAAGCATCCAAAAGGTCGGGTCTTAAAAATATGTCACACAATATATTATTATAAGTTTATTTAACAATTATAATTATGATAAAAGGCAACTAAGCCAAGATCTCAAAGGCAAGTCGGTGTAACAATAAATTTTTTACCCTGATTTCACGGGAACTGAACCCCACTTAACCGTTTTACAGGTACGACGAGGCAGCCAATAAAGTACATATATTCACACATTACAAAGCATAAAATAATTTTTAAGAATTCCAAAAGTCGTTTATAACTAACAAACTATTCCTAGCTGACTTTTAACTTGGTAATTGCTTCAGCGAAATCTTAAAGTTATGTTGTTTAAGAATTCCCTCACTTTGATAAACGGTATATTCATCCTAGTTTAATATACTTTTACGGAAGTACTTCTAGTGGGCTGCGCTCTCAAACTTAATTTTGTTTTATTTTAAATACGTTTATACCACTGCTGCAAAGTATCCGAAACGTCGGGCTACTGTTGAAATAAATTAAATAATCCATTTTTAACGCGTTTTAAATCGTTAAAAAGATTTTATTTAGATTTTTAAAAATCCACACTGGAAATAAATCATCAAATTATTTTAGAAATGTCTCATTACCCGACATTTAAGTTATATACATTTTATTTAAAGTAAGTGAAATTTCGTAGTGTCGTACTTTCGCGGAGCGGGACATGTTGCATCCGTTTTATTGTTCAATCTTATTTACAGGCAAGTATCTGATCAGACAGTGCGCTTCCACGCAACTTCCCTGGAAATCGATTTCAGACGCCTAAAGCTTTTATTATTAATGATGATTAATTCAAAATAAACATATATCGTCTTCTATTCTATTCTAATCGACATCTTACAAATGTCCCAGTCCCAAAACTCAAATCAACCAAGTCTCACCCCTGATCCGATGAGTCAGGTTCATTGCACCGGTTAGAGTGTGCAATATATCAAACTCGGGCATCGATTCATCTTCAAAATCGGCGCCCTCGTCCGAGTTCATGTCGGGAGCGGCCAACTTGAGCAGCGCCTGCTTATTTTGATTGGCAATTAGGAATTGGCGCGGCGTGAATATTTTATAAGGCATAATACAACACCGGTATCAATCTTTATTAAGACGTGTACAACTATATAGATTTTAAAGGTCACGAGTCTCTAATTCGTACAATCAGTGTAATATACCATGGCAACTAGAATATGCCGATAAATAATCTATTAAGCTAGTACAGTAATTTTAACGGTATTATTCGTACAATAGTAGTCTTATAATAACCAACGGGTCGTGAGTTCGATTCTGTTCAACGTGTTTCTGAAATAAAAACTATATTTTTTCAATACCGATAATTAGAACATCGAAATAGGTGACATATTAAATTTTAGTCCGTGTCACAAACTACACAGTCCACCCAAAAAATAAAATGTATATTCCAGTCTAAAAGACGAATAGGTCGACAACACATTTAATTTGGATTACTGGAGTATATCACCTTCCATCAAGTGAACCTCGCGCTTGCCAGTCCCTCTATGTCATAAAATAAACTAGATAAAGCTAGAAAGATAGCGCCACAACACATTTTCACGTTAGTTACGGTGTTATCTACGAGGTTTTTAAGCGGAAGCCGAAACTTCAGTTTGGCTCTAATGAAATACCTTAGATGGAACTAAAAATGGCTTAAAAATGGTAAATAACTCGTAACATGCGTTATTTCTATTTTTAATTGCTCAATGGATCTCATAATAAATCAGACTTATGAGTTTCTAATATGTAAGCTACAAGAATAACGCTCACCTTACAAATAAGCAGTGGCCACAGATGTACCACTTGAGACGTTACAGCCGTTGGTCCCATCTTCAATCCAGGCTTTGGAGGTGCGTGACATACGATTGGTGAAAATGGAAGAAGGGGAGAGTCAGTGGCGTCAATTGGGACCAGGTCGCTTACCCACACGCAACGCCATGCTCCCAAGTAGAATAGTCGGACGAGGTAGCAACCTAGAAATATAAAAGAAAAACATTAAAAACTTTAATATTTTTCACATGATGGCACTATATAAGTTATTAGAGCAACAACACAGAACGTAAATTTTTCAATCTAAAATCCATGTTTATTTTATAAAGAATAGAATTACAAAATCGCATGAACTATTTTATTATTTATGAACATTTATTTATTTATTGATAAAATTAATAAAAAATATAGTGGATTACTAATATTTCATTAGCTTAAAAACTTATTTACACATTGAACTATTTCATTGGCGCCAAAAGTAGCTTTGCAGCTATGGCACAGGAGCCAACGCCTACCTCCGTATGAATAGTTAAAGGATTACAATAAATGAATTACATTATACACAAAAAACTTAAACTAATTTACTATTTTATAAAAATACTTTTTTATAAAACTAAAAAAGGATGTGTAATACTGTGTAATATAAAATAAATGTGTAATATAATCTTAGATCGTTTATAGGTTGTTTTATATTATGTATTTGTGAGTGAGTGAAAGTAATTTAAATTATAACATATACGGACCTGCTAAAAACTTAAGTATGAAAAGAGTATACTAAAACCTGCAAAATTATTACAATTATTACTTAACAAATTAAAAAACGATTGTATTTTGTTTTTGACAGTTAACCACGATTCGCGCTCTTTTGACATTTTAATAATATATAAATTATATTTTAATAATATATTAATTCGAATGAATCACAGATTATACTAGTATCTTCTAAACAAGGCATCTATCTGATGTGTCATGACATACATCTCGGATCGACTTAACCTCGCACCTGTAAGCGACACTTTAATATGTTATAGTGAAGGTAAAACAAATTAATTGACTAAAAAATAGACTTTAACTTCCAGAAGAAAAAAATTAAATACTGACTGTACTTTACGCGAGTAGTACACATTTATATAGAACACTAAGGATTTCGGATGAGACCGGTGACCTGATCGGTGGATCGGAGAGCTGGTGTCGCCCGTGACCACGGCTGCTGCAAAACATCCGAAAGTCGGGCCGCGGTTTAAAATAACTTCCAAATAAGTTTAACTTATATACATCGCGTTCTAAACCATTAAAGTGTTTTATTAAAAATATATATTTATTTATTTTAAAACAGATTTATAATCCTTATAAAGATTAAGACTGTTTGTTTATCCTTCCTATATATGCTTTTCTATAATAGTATTTAAAGCTATTTATTTTTCATTGTAACTTATGTTTCCGTCTTAAATGGCAGCCCTGGTGGTCGATGATAAAGTGGTAGACCAAAATTACGTTAGCTACGTGACGTCGAGCTTAAGCCAGAAATTGGAGACACTTCGTTCAAGATGAGACAGTTTAAAGGCTATGTAAGCTCGGCCAGCTTTCTAGCCCAATTGGTCAGAGCAACAGCACGCTGACGATGCCGGTTCGGGTCCGGGTCGAATTTATTTTTGATCTTTAATTTATGAAGTGCCGTCATGCGCAAAAACATGACAGAGTCAAGACCTAAGAGCTAAAGTGCAGCACAGATGATGTATAACTATTTAAAAAAAAACTTACACAGAATCGTCTAAAGAATATCTAGATTACTTAAAGCGATTACTAGATACTTAGTTCCGCGTTGAGCCTGAGAAATTTAAACAATAAGCATTATCTAATGTGTTCATTACAAACAATACTTGTTACTTTCAAATCTAGTTTTAAAATCTATGTTGGGAATAATTTTTTATACTTCTATATAATAGTTTAAATGCCTCGCTAGTCTAGTGGTGGTAGAGTCTCGAAGCCACTCACGTTAAATATGTGTATATAGATTCTAATAGTTAAATAAAATACTTTATAAAACGCTATATATAATTAGTAGAGTAAGACACTCCCGTGACTACGGCTGCTGCAAAGCTGTCGGGACGTAATTAAAATAAATTGTAAATAAGTTATGTAATAAATATCGCGTTTTAACCGTCAAATGATTTATTTTCATGAGTACTACTACCGTATACAGACAATATTAAATACTACAAATGTAGGCCACTAAGTCTACTAGGCCCTATGCGACAGGTCATGTTCCCTAGGATTCAAACCTAAGTGTAATGTGTTTACAACTTACAGTATATTAAAATGTCAATTTTAAACTGCTTTAATGCAAAGTACCATTTTTGGACAACGTCGGTCGATGCTGGGCTCCGCCCCCCGGTTTCAGACCAGGTGAGTAAATGTGGTACCTGGCTCTCCAGCCTTCGGGACCTATTGTGAACGTAAAGTTCTCCCATTGATGTTCCACCTAAATAAATAAAACAAACAACGACCAAATATAAAGACAAAAGCAAAAGTATAAAAATTTCATTATAGATTAATAAAAAAAACATTGCCCTACCGCGTCTAGCTCAAGTGGTTACAGCACGCTGTTGCTCTAGGCTCGGAGCGCTCCTACCCGTGCCGTAATACTTTTCTCAATTTATAATCGATTTTTTATTTATATAGTGCCATCATGTGCAATAACATGTGGCAATATTTAAGTTTTTAAACATAAGCAAATCCATTTATATTTCTTTGAATTTCTAATTTGGTCTTCTATATACACGATAATTCGTCTGGAAATCTGAATATTAAATAGTTGGTAGGAATATGGAACACAGATGAAACAACGGTTAACGGTTTCGGTTTAAGTCTGTGGATTTCCGAATATCCAAAGACAAAATAGGGCGACAGCACATCTTGTTTAGATGCTATAAGCTGGGTTATATACCCACCATGTAGTGAACTCCATGCCATGTGTGCACTAATCTATTATAAAAAACTTACCACTACACTGTCTATTCGTTCTAGAATATAGCAAATGGACAGCACTGCTCTGCAAAATGAAGAACGTAACAGCACTTGGGCGTGGCTTAGCTGAATATCTGTTATGTTCATTTTAGCTATATCATTTGCATCCTGAAAGACCGTACATACATTTCTTACATATGTTGCTATTTAAGGGCGATGTTTACTAAGTAACAAAAATATCATTAATTTCTTAGGTACTACAAAATTTCTCGTTATATCGAAAAAAACCATCTAACCTATTACATATATTAGCTGTTTACTAATGTCAACAAAATATTTATCTATAAAGGGGGCCTAAAAGTGCATTATTTACTATTTTTAACATCTATGTCTTTAAATATAACTTTAAGTAAAAGATTAACAAAGCTATGTGTGGCAGATTTTTTTATACACGGCCATGTTGTTCCAGAATATTGTAATGACAATTTAATATCTGATGAAAATATCACTCCGGGGTGGCTGAGACTACTTCTCGATAACCCCTTACCTCAAATATAGCAACTTCAGCCTCCCATCTATTATACGCCAGATCTTCAGCTCTGATCCAGCCATGCAAGAATTGCCTAACAGAGCGAGGGAGCGGTTGAGTCTGATCATCGGCCCAGGCTTGTTCCGCGTGAGGTTTAATAGGAATCTTACTCATGACGTGGCTCGCCCGAAATGCGGCTGGACCCTGGACCAAACAAACATTTTACCAGCCGATTCTTAGAAATAATGAATTAAAGTATAAGAGTTTTCTATTATTTTTTTACTACAAACACACTAATGAAATAAGATTATTGCAGGCCTTAAAATCTAATAATTTTGTTTAGCATCCAACTAATTATATTGTTTTACGACTCTGACTTGAATTAGATTTTTTTTTATCTGCATATCATAAGATATCGGACCCTAATCCACAATTGTTAAGGTTGAAATTATATTGAAAAAAAAATCGACGGTGACGTGTAAGATTCGGTAGCTCAGTTTACAGTAACAGCACGGATCGCTGTAAATGCTGGTTCAATTCCTGTCCGAGATTTTTCAATTAATAATAAATTTTTAATTTAATTATTCTTGGTCCAAAAAAAATAAATAAAATGATATTCGAGAGCATTTTATTTTTTTCAATGTGACCGCGACGGCTGAACGACGAGACGTCAGCGCGCGCCATCAGATACTTTTGGGTGCTACCCGTGCAAACTGTAGTGTTAAGTTTTTTTATTTTTTTACTGCCAACTGAGAATATAAGTTTTAACGCCCGAGATAGACTACCGATTTTGTTTTAATAGTTTCCGCGAGTGCAGGTCATTATTTTATAGTAACTTATATAAAAGCACTAAATAAGTGTGTATTCAAAAATTAGTAAATATTTCTCGAAGTTTGTACACTATTAGGTTCAGCATATAACCATGTACTTACCATACCCCAAGAATCAATAGACAGTTCGTTATCCCGAAACTCGCGAAACGGACATTCCGTCGGGTCAACCGTGTATGCGATTAAACTTTGCTTTACATCACTCTTTTTGGACATTTTTATATCTTCCAACTTATAAGCTACATTTACACAAAGGTATTTAATGTATTAATCTTAAAATAATTCGATTTTCACAAGACGAACGACCATGTGTTTTCGAATGACATTAGTTTTAACATAACTGCAACATTGTCATCGTTACAGATAAAAAGAGATTCAATTATTGTATGAAATATGTCTGTGGTAATAACAAAGAGGTTTTAATCATTATCTTATTGTTTTCATTTTTTATGTTTTGTAAGCGTTTAGTAGTCCTGAATTTTAAATATCAAGTTTTTTAAATATTTTTGTAAGGTTAATACATCATTAGAATCATAATAAACCTAGAATGTAAACCATACACCACAGACAAAAAACAGAGTCCGTTATCCGGACGTTAAAAACTATTAATAATTAATGTTATGTTCGTGTTCTATATTAAATAAAAACTGGGCACATTAATGTTAGACGGATATATGATCATTTAGAGGACAGGAAGCGAGCCGGTTAGCCGTGAGAGCCTTAATTAAATAGTTGAATATCTATGAATTCTTGCGTAGGTTTCTTTATAAAAGCTGGTTATTTTAGAAGCCTCAGAAAAATATTAAGGATTCTAATGTAACATCTAATGTTAGTAATATTGTGTCTATAATGTATAAACCTTTATTAAACCATAAAAGTGTTTTATTTATAAAAACTTCTTTTATTTATAAAAAATCGATAATATGTATATTAAAAAAATTTACGACTCGGACAGGACTTGAACTGGCACCCTTAGCGTTCTGTGCTGTTGCACTAACCGAAAAATCGACAGTAAATAGTTATTATATTTTAAAATCTATTATCGATTTTTAATTTTTTTTCCAGTATTCGATATCAGAATCTCTCGCGATTCTCGCTTAATGTTAAGAAACAAGTTTTAACTCAAATACTTAACATATGTTCCGATGCAAAAATTTTCCTAAAAAACCCAATCTGAAGTGATAAAAAAAATCGTAAAACATATTTTTCTATAATATTTTCGTTTCTCATGGTCGCAGGTTCGAATACCATAAAGTGCAACAAATTGTATCAAATAAACGAGACGTAAAATAATTGTTCCAAAGCTACATGCAACAAGTATTAAGGCCAGTTGCAAAATTTACCACGTCGAGTGAAAGTAGTTTGAGCGGCCAGATTGTTTGATCTTTCCAGCCCCCTTTAATGCAGGGACAACGCATCGAAGCACGGGGGTCATGGAGACAAAGTGACAGGTCTATATAAAGCGGTCGTAGTGCGAGTTAACTTGGTATCGAACTATTGTTAGATAAAGGGAAGATTGGCAAAATGGCTACGTACAAAATCTTTTGTTTTGTTTTAACATTTTAATGTCCTACTTCTGGACATTAGTCTTCTCTCTCAAAAGGATTTTAGAAGCTTAAATGCAGCACACTGCTGCACAACCCACCATGGGATGACAGGTTTTTTGACAACCGTCACTAAAATGTCTGGGACCGACGGACTAACACGATAACACCTACCCTCAAGCTACGAGCTTGTACTAGAAATTATATTTTTTTTATCCAAGTCCAGACAAGCCGGAGACCTCGTGATCTAGAGACTACCGTATCCCCATCTTATAGTCTCTTTAATGCAGCAATTGTAATGTGGATTGAAAATTTCATAATTTAATTAGAACAATACATAATTTTACTAAAGAAATAAATAACAACATCAGATAAGCTGTTTTGTATATTATAAAGGAAATACAAGCACTCTCGGAATTCTGTCTGCTAAATGTCAATAATAACTAGTTATAGAACTGGGTATGACATGAATTTTGTTAACAGTTGAATATGTACTTTCACTAGAGGTTTTGCAATGGCCTATAATTATTTAGTGAGAGCAAATCATTTGAAAACTTTATTATTTTTTACATGAAGGCACTATATAGTTTAAAAATAGAAAATAAATTTTAAAAATTTTCACTCGGGCAGAACTTGAACCGGCATCGTCAGCGTTCCCTGCTGTTGCTTGACTAATTATAAAACCGAATTCGATTTTTAAGTTATAACGAGCAAATTATTTAAGATATTTTCTATAGAACAAAAATTTTAATAATCCCGTAAGGCAATTTAAACAGTATTTAAGGCAACAGCATATTTGAGATATTAAGTGCAACAAATAAAGAGAGATTAAACAAAATAAAGTTTTAAAATCTAATTAGCAATAAGTAACATAGTCTTATTATTTCACGTAAACAAATAGCTTTTTGTATTCTAGGACCTAAATAGGTCATTAAAAGATTTGGATAGAATGATAAAAAGTAATAAACAAATTAGCGATAGCTTAAGTATTGTTTGTAGTCATGAGTAGTACACATTTAAATACCTAAATCACTGTAAACGGTTTGAAATACGAAATTTATTTCTTTGTTTACGCGAGAGGTGTAACTATCAGGAGGTTGAAAATTCGAGAATGACGTGTAGGAGTCGCTAGCTCAATTGGTAAGAGCAATAGCTCGGAACGCTTTGGGTGCCAGTTAAAGTCCTGCCCGAGTCGTAATTTTTTTAAAATCTCAAATCAATTTGTGATAAAACGGGCCGCAGTTAATGTTAATTGTAATTATTTTAACCAAAACATTTCGCAAATGAAAGTGTTACAAGTCTTTATTTAAAATCAATTGCTTAGTTAGGGGGTTATGAAATAAAAAATAAATCGTACAGATTATAAAAGTTAAGCATATTATATAGAACACGGTTACACGGTTCATTATTGCCGTCTTGTGCTGTACAGAGACAAACACACATATGAACATTTGTCATAAACACCGTGGTAATTAAACACGCGTACCCGTTTATCTAGGAAGTAGTAATTAATGATGTGGAAAGAGATAAATAGATCAAACGCCTTCGTATGCACTGACATTCGCAGGGTGAAAGGAATCATATAAAAATGTATTTTATAAATCTCTGATGCTATATAGGATTTACGTTTTTGATACTTTACAAGTTAGATACTAATTTAAACTCGTGCTCCTTTGAATTTATTACATTGCTTAATATATTTATCTTTATTTTCTAATTAATTAAAGTTTGATTTTACTTAACATGTATAATTACTTCAGTCATTATAAGTTTACCGCTTTCCTTACACATTAGGGTCAGCGCGATCCTAGCATGGCGTCCTGCGTGGTGGTAGGTTGATATCCCGGGAAAAATAGTAAATAGTTTATATCAGACAGAATATAATGGCCTGACCAACTTTTAAAACTGTTTCCTAGAGTGGCTTTTATCTTACTATATCTCCGCCTCTAAAGTCTTACATAAAAAAATCTACGGTTAAAAATTATTTTAACTACATTACTATATTAAGTTAGTAAATTGTCAAATTCAATTGTTATGTGAATCGACCCTTTTAAATAATTGACTAAATAAAATGAAATACTCTAGTTTGTGTTGAAATGCACTACAAAACGCCGCATTTAAATGACGTCATCATAGAACATAGATATTTCATTAACATTGTCAGTGTCGCAATTAGTAAATTGATGTATTAAATTATTGATAAGCCCTAATTGCAAATTGTTTATTTATCACGTCAATGTTATCGTTAGGCTTTAAGCGGTTTTTCAAATAACGGTTGACATCATTACGATGATGTGTGGTGGTTTATTTACTGAAATGCTTTAGATATTTGGGCTATCACTATTACTAATGACAGAATGATTGTAATAAAATAAATAACTATATTTTTGTAATGTTTAAAATATAACAATATTAGTACTATATAAGTAGTACAGTTTTTGATTTAGATTGTTTAAAAATATATTTATCTGCGATGTTTTCACAAAGAAAGCCTTGAATGCGAATGTTACCATTTCATCTGGGAAATATTTATTTATTTATTTATTAACTTTATTAATTACAAATACATAGGTAAAAGGCATTGCTGTTTTGTTTGAACACTCAATTGCTTTTTAGTTTATAACTTGATATCGATCGAGAAATTGAAAGTCACATAAACATGATAAAAATAAAGGAAGCGATAAAAATGCAATTAAAATTAATGAAAATGCAAACCACTTTCATTTTTAGCGGTTTAATATTCAAAGCAAGTATCAAGACAGTTAGGTCCAGCGTTCGGCGCACACGCACACATTTTGAATCGGTAACGACGCACGGGGCGAAACAGCGGGCTTTCGGGCCAATATTCAGTCCACGACCGTCTCTCCGCTGTGACAGACGAACGGACAGACATGAAAACAACATAAATCGACAGACAACTCTAATCTCCCGTCGCGGGACAGTGGTGGTGATCGTGATTTTCTCGACGACTGTATTCGTGCGGTACTGTAGTGCTTTTGTGTTGTGCCCTCGAGTGTACCGTTATCGCGGAAAGCATAATGGTGAGTTTATTTAACGCTGAGCTTTTCATGAGCTTTATAATGTCAAGCTGACACTTGTTGCGTTTTAAAGTATCAAAAACGGGTCGTAACTCGCTGGCCTCGCTGACCGATTCGGTGGTGATAAATCTTGTTGATATTAATTTAAAATCGATTGGTGCTTATCCTTGAAAATATTTGAATTATTGGTGAATAAAATTCGTGTTTCGCGGCTAATAGAGTTAATAGAAAACGGCGGTTTGCATGCTGATTTAATGGTCTTTAAAGTTAATTAACTCAAAAAATTAAATAATCAGAATTTTGTGATAGGCTGTTAGTACGCTTTCATGAAATGTAACTCTAATAATGCTGTAATATAATAATATTTGACTGTCTCACATATTCATTCGTGACAAATACTTTGGATTTCGTTCTACTTTGCAGGTAGGTACGTATATTGCTTTTGATTTAACGCCACCAGAAATAATTCAATTGCATTTACTCTGGAGGTCAGAAAAGGTTATTCAGGTACTGCGTTTGATGACACGATTTGATTGAAAAGATCTTTTAATCTAATTTGGTTTATTAAGAAACTTTTTTTTAAATTCTGAAACGGGAAGTAAAAAGTTATTTTTTAGTACGATAGTCAATTTAA